GATTTCCTAAATTGAGATGTCGCTGCGGTGCTATTCAAGCCAACGATTTGAATCGGTGGAGTTTCTTATTCAATCTGCTCATGTGAGTTCTTCACATTTAACAGAATCATTCGATTCGATGATTTCCGAAGCGAATTTTTCTGATTTTATTTCCTTTTTTTCTTTTTTTTTTCCCGGTGAAATCAAAGCAACTTGAAGTTACGCCGGTTGTCAAATACACTGCTTTGTCCTTCTTTGCCGATCGATTTCTCCCCAGGTACCATTCTTTATCAATTTCTATCATATATAATATGTATTTAACGATCTATTAAAAAGATTTGCATAAACTTAATAGTTTTGAGAGTTTAGCGTGTTGTGTTCCAAAGGGTATTTGGAGGGTTTGAAGTGCGTTTGGGACAGCATATAGCAGAATAATTTAGTATTATAAATGTCTAATGTTCAAGGGTGGAGCACAGAAAAATACATGATAAAGAAATGCTTTAACTGATTTATCAAAACTAATCATGTGTCAGGTCAAGAAAAGAGGGGAAAGAAGTATATAACGTTTCTCAATTTAGATGGGAATCAAAAGAGAATGTGGATAAACATGATGGGTACAGAAGTAATGGGTAATTTGATGAAAGATTATTTATGTGGGCTTTTTGCTGTTGCATCCCTAACATGTGCTTCCTGGGTTGAAATGTTTTATGCATAGGTTAATTCAGGCTAATGATGTCGGAAACTGGCTTTTGCGACCGATGGGTGGGGGCAATTTTCAACTATTTGCACTTATTTCAATATGGATATCTAGCAAAGTCAGTTATCATGCTATCTTATACTGAACTGAATGAAGTTTCTTTGCTTTCATTTCACCATGGTTTTGTGCCTGTTTTTAAATATATCTATGTTACTGTAGATACATGATTCTCATCCTGTACCCTTGAAAAGTTTAAAGTCTCTAGGAGACATGTTCATTACGGAACAGCATTTTACAACTCGAGATTTCTTGGAAGCAGTAAGCTAGTTAATATTTCTTTGCTTTCAAAGATTTTTTAGCCTATTTAATCCGTCATGTCCACAATGGTTCATGTGCATGCTCTGCAGGAGTTGGTCTTACTTCAGGTAATTGTCCAATAACCTCAAAATATCTTTGCATCCCTCAAGTTTTGGCTGAGATGAGTTCTGTTCATTGAGAAGGTCCTGAATTTTGACATTGGGACTTCAAATGTTGCATTTATGTTCCTTGAAGAGCTCTTTGTTTGGTTCAAGTAAGTTTCTTTTCCCACTAGAAGATTCTGGGTTAAAGGAAAATTAATTCGTTCATATCAATAGGTAACTTACCATAACTACTGTGTTCCATATTCGATTACAGGGGGGTGTCCAAAGTTGGGGAGCTCATGAGCTTTGAAGCATGCATGGATTTGATGGATCTTCTTTATGAGAAAGAGGAGACATCAATACTTTTTTGTTCTCCTTGTTCTCTTGCTGCATCCATCTTGGCATGTTGTACTAACTCTTTGGTATCCAAGTCCTTTACAGTATTGTTCAATTTGTTAAGCTTGTAACCTTTTCAGGTCTCTTCATATGTTGTCACAGTACCTAAGCAGCAGTGGGAGTTTCCTGTTCTTCCCTGGGGTAAGTTTCTTATACTTACATATTGATATTACATTAAAACCTTTTGGAATTCTGCCTATGCTGTACTACATGTGATGTATAATGCTCCAAAAGCCCTCATTAAAGTGACCTGAGTCTGCTTGAGCCCTGTTTTTTTCTCCATTCTCTGATATTAGGCATCATGACTTTGTCACCCATGCTTGTCAATCCCTATATATTCATTATCAATGTTGACACAAGAGAGAGTGTAACTTCTAGCAGCTATCCAAATTATGACTATTAACTGCTATATGTTTTGTTACTCTTGTGACCACACTGCACCAACTATAAATCAGTATATGTTTCTATTAATTGGTTTACCTACGGTAATTAAATTTATCTTTATATGAAGTTTATTTCAAAGTTTATGCTTGATATTATATTAACTCTGTCTATAGGGGAAATAGATGGGATTTAAGTATGAATCTTTTAACTGAGGGGCTTACTTTTGTATATATATCTTTTTTGGTACATTGGAAGTTAGCAACTTAGTAATTAGTTGGCTTCAAATTAAAGTATCATAGTTAGTAGGTAGCTACTCTACCAAGCTCTTAGTGATTACACTTATGTTTCTGTTAGCTAAGAATAACTCTCTCGCTTGATTCAGGAGAATTAACTGGTCCTTACTCATAATGGTAGTTAAAGCTTAGTAGAGTAGTGATACTTATGATAGGTAACATTTTAGTTGGTAGTGTTGATTGATGAGGTTTCAAGCTAAACCAAAAGTTTTTTATTTGTTCTGGTTTGTCAATATAATCCAAATGTTTAATATTGGCAACAGGTAATATTGATCCTAAAATGGCTCTTTGGCATCATGTTATAACTAATTTAAGATGCATCATCTTCAGAAGTACATTTCTAATTCTTGGCAGATACAGGTTGTTAGTTAATCATTGGCGTGCAATTATTTTCTATTAATGAGCATGCATCAGCTAAGTATAATTAACATTGTTAATGCTAAGAGATCTTTTGTTTTATCTGTGCAGTGAAGTTTGTAACCTCATGCAAAGAAGAGGATATTGTGAAGCAGGTGAAGGAGATCCTGAAGCATGTATTTCATCCTCCTTGCTAGAGTCTAGAGATAATAACAAAATCTTGGTAGAGATGTCATCTATTTTGATATTGCCCTACCTTGAGGAAAAGTTGATATCTTTATCCTTAAAGACGAACACTTTGAGCCATGTAGCTAAGTGTAAGCGGTTTAGGAAAATAATACTTATATGAATACCATGCTAGACAAGACGCATTAGCTGCTTCTTGGTTAAAAAACTGGAATCAGGTTTACTGTAAAAAGGCTAAAACCCTATTTTGGTCCTTCAACTTTAACAAAAAGTTTTTTTTAGTCCTTTTACTTAAGCAAATTCCATTTTTATCCGTAAAGTTTATTATCTAGTCTCTTTTTAATCCTTTCATTATCTTTTTGCTCATGTAGTGCATTTAGATAATGGAAATTCTAAAATAGAGGGACTAAATATATATATATATTTGAAATAAATGGACTAAGAAAAGCTCTTTTTTTAATCGTCTCTTTTTAGTCTTTTATTAGAAAATGAAGGGATTAAAAAGAGTAGGATAATAAATCTTAAAAACTAACCAACGAGGGGTTGAATCAAGTGGTAAGCGGCTTGTTCCAACTTAAGCAAGGTCTCGAGTTCGAGTCCTTGTGTACGTAACAGCCTTCGTTGGGAGACTCATCCATCATTTCTAGGTGCGCGACCC